TTTTTTTTTTTTGAGCAGTGGCTGAGAGGGAATATTTATAATCTATTCATCTAAATAAGACATAGATCATACAGTTTAGGATGAGATGGCATTGAATTGGCTTTAGTTTATATCACATAAGCTGTTAAATAAACAAAACTTGGAGTTCAAGTCCTGGGCTGAGTTCTAGCATGTACTTACTGTGTGATTCTGGACAAGTGATTTCACCTGTCTGAGGCTTCACTTTTTCATCTTGTCAGAGAAGGTATTAGAGTCCCTAGTACATCAAGTTGGAGAAGACATAAAGGATATACATTGCTTCCACAGTACCTTGTCCCTTCCCCTCACTCCGAGGACTCCGCCATTATTGATCCCTACACTTGCCAAGTCTTGAGTATCCTGTCCCCAGAGGTCCTGGATAACACACACTCGGCAACGTTTTATTAAGCACCTAAACCTGGAACTCAGTGGCACCTTCAGAAACCTGTGTGATGGCACATTCCCATGCCTTAAAAAGGAACTGTAGAGTGTATGTATGGATGCTGGAGAAAATGAGTGCTATGAATAGAAAAACACCAATGCAAAGAGTTCTGGGAAAATTTTAATAGAGAACCTGAAATTTTCTACTCCACAAGTACTGCTGCTTGGTGGGTTATCTGAGCTGATCATGGCTCTCTGAACAGTCAAAACTAAGAATTAAACTAAATGTCTAAAGGTAGTGATTCCATGTAATTACTAAATTATTTAATTATTAACTAATAAAGCATCACAGGCATCTAGCTCCATTATTCCCCGATAAAGTGTAGTGAACCTCTTAGCAGCATAATTAAGGCACCCGATGAAATAAAAAATTATTTATAGTACTCAGTGTTTAGAAAAAAATGAAAGTAAGCACTGGGTTTTCCTGTTACCTTCTATTCCTTGAGTAATTGCCAAAAATATGTTGGTTCTATCATCCTTCAGCTTAGATTTAGAATTTTATAGAGTCGCATTAGGCAAATTGTCCTATATTTTAATAGGTAGCACTTACCATCCCCTACTCCGAAATAATCCATCACTGGTATGTGGACACAAAATTCTGGAGTCATTTATTTCTAGACAATATAAAATTGATGTCTTGGGCCTTTCTCGTTTATGTAGGGTTTCTTCAGAAGAACCATTCAGAAAAATCTCCATCCATCTTATTCCTGTAAATATGAAGGAAAATGTGTCATAGACAAAGTCACACGAAATCAGTGCCAGGAATGTCGCTTTAAAAAATGCATCTATGTTGGCATGGCAACAGATTGTAAGTAATCTTCTTTTGCTTTATATTCAAGGAGTGTTGATTGGGGAAAGGTTTGGTTCAAGGAGATCAACTAGACAGGAAAGAAAGCAGAGGAAAGAAGAGAGACTCCTTGCATTCCCACTGACCCCTCACTCCTAGCCATTGCTAGGTGTCTCATCCCCTTTTATCAGCTCCTGACTCTGAAGGCATCCAGATGATGGGTGAGGGAAAACAGTTCAATTATTCCTCTCATGTTTGCAAGACTGTTAACAATACTCTATTTGCAACAAAGATTACAAAGGAGAGGTCTGGTCCATTCTCCTTGAGAGGCTATAATTTTACACACACAACATTCATGTGGTGAGAGCCTGGTGGATGAGTCCTAATATTTTTTTTCAAAAGCAGAGACAGGAATTCATTCTGTGGGCATTTTTAGAGACAGGCACTGGCAGAAATCATCGCGTTCAGAAATTTCTGAAGAATGTGAAGTTGAGTGCTATTACATGAGTCATTCTGCAGTTGGTTGTTTGTTATATTTTTAGCCATAAAAACATTCTGAGCTGAAGTAGGCCTACCCAGATTTCCAAGTACCACAGCATATGGTGGTGAGATTAGCCCTCTGGGTCTCTTCTCCTGATACTGTGCAGGGGATTTACACCCATCACTTTAATTAATCTATCAATAAAGTAAGAATGGTGTCATTCTGGATGTGGGCCCCCCCTTTTGCAAGCATTAGTATTAATGATTTCCACTGGCATGATTTTTTGCATATCAGGGAGGGATTCTGACTTTTAGTTAAAACAGAAGGAAGAAAAAGAAAAGGGGAGAAAGAATGCAGTGAGAATTTATTCATGGAAGAAGAGATAGGTCTCATGTATATGTGGTAAATGGGGGTTCTCGTAGCTGGAACAGAAAAACCTGAGCAATGTCCTGGGTTGCCATTAAAAAAGACAGGCTGGGGAATCTTTTAAAAGGATGTCAAAATGGAAATCGAGGGTTAATCTTCGCCTGCATGTGTTTTTTATCTTTTAAAGGCTTTCAGCCTTTTCAACAATATGTTGATAAGAATAGATAAAAATGATTGATTTACAATCAGATTCATGTTGCTGTGTCCCTGTAATGAACTGTTATTATGAAGACCCATTTCACTGTCTTACTGAGAAGTTAAAGACATGAGTGTTTTGAGGTACAAATAACTCAGTATTCATCTACACAGGGGAAATAAATTTTAAGTGGCCCTTACTTAGTTGTAAAATATTATAAAAGCTCAGGTTTTATAATCAGAAAAATTGCTGGAGTCCCAGATCTGCCACTTACTAGCTGTGTGATCGTTGGACTTGAACTCACATTCCCCTTCTTGCAAAACAGTGGCCCACCTCAAAGGTCATTCTCAGGATTAAATTAGATAATACATATCACCTAGCCAAAAGACAGGCACCCCAGCACAGTGGAAGCACTGGGGAAATGGGGTGATGGGTACAGTCCCTTTCCCCCTCTCCCTTTAACAAGTGAACCAAAACAATTAACCATGGCTGTTCATTTTCCCCAAATTTGTCAGTACTCACATGGCTTAAAGATCCAGTCCACTCTCTGATTATTCCTTGGTTTGTGGGTTAACTGAACATCTTTGGTTCTCTTCCTACTGTCATGTTTGCTGTTTTTTGTTTTCCACCAGTCTATACCTTCATTAAGAAATGGCCCCAGACAATGATGTTGTAGGACTAGACTCACGAGTCTTTGGTCCTGAGTCTTCTCTTGGCTGTGCCAGCAACTTGCTGTGACTTTAAGCAAATCACAACCACTCTGGATCTGCTTCCTTCTCTGTGGGAGTAGAAGGAATTGAACTCAATCATGTCTAAGATTCCTGTGACGACTCCAGCATAAAGACTAAGCCTTTCTGATAGTTATTGATAGTTATTAAGACTGGTGAAATGGTTTGGTTTTTGGAAATTAAGACTGAATTTAGATTTCTTATTGCCTGTTCTTCTGAATTCCTTTTGACATAAATGATAAAAGCCATGGATCTACATACTGAGCACTGGTAATGGGGTAATGCTGTGAAAAGGGCATTACCAATTCCATTTACTCAGGAAATAAAAAACCACAAAGAACCTAAGCAACTTGCCAGAGGTCACACAGCTAGAATGTGGTAGTGTCAGGATTCAAACCCAGTCTCTCTAGATTCCAAAACCTGGATTCCTTAACCACCATGAGTACATGTGAAACCAAAAAAAAAAAAAGTCCAACCCTTAGCTGGCCCCAAAGAAGCTAACAAAGAGTCGGGGTCCTTTTTCCTCTGAGGAAAGGATCACTAGACTCCCATTTGCTGCTCAAGAACTTTTCTCTAACCTGAAGCTCTTCTTACTGAGAACCTTTGGGGAGGGAAGGAACAGAAGCCCTGAGCAAAGTCAGATGATTGTCCAGACAGGCATGTCTGTAAACCCATGGGATGTAATTTTATTTCTCTTCTGTTTCATCCTCATGTTGGGCCACCTAGTATGTAATGGGGATGCCCAGTCACCCCACTCCCCCAGAGCTTGGTGTCAGAAGCTGACTTAGCACTGGGAATTGAGTGCTTGGACTCAGGTTGAACTATGGCAAGTCAATGAGAGCTTCCTGCCAAGGGGACAAAATCCCCAGGGGTCCCACCTGGTAGGACCACAAAGTCATCTGTGTAACAGTGGTCCCATCCCCTGTGCTCCAGGATGTGGCATCTGCTGAGTGTCTGGGAGTATCTGTATGTATTCTCTCACTTCCTTCCTCTCCCAGTGGTTCTGGATGACAGCAAGCGGCTGGCAAAGAGGAAGCTCATTGAGGAGAACCGAGAGAAGAGACGGCGGGAAGAGCTGCAGAAATCCATCGGGCACAAACCAGAGCCCACAGATGAGGAGTGGGAGCTCATCAAAACTGTCACAGAAGCCCATGTGGCCACCAATGCCCAGGGCAGCCACTGGAAGCAGAAGCGGAAATTCCTGGTAAGGTTCCCTTGCACAGCCAACTATCAGCTGCCTGCCTGGGGCATTGGGATGGAGTAGGGAGGTAGTTTCTGCCTCAGTTCATTCAGTGCTCACAACCCCAGGATGCTGATGTTTTTCCCCCGCTTTATTGGGGGGAAGGGGAATGGGAACTGCATCTCTGACAGGTCAGGTACCTTGCAGAACTAAGATTAGACTGTATCTCTACCTGAGAATAAAGACCACACTTACCATGTTATGCTCATGAATCACTGAATTATGAAGCAGTTTTGAAGGCCACATTCCCTGTTTGATTTTACTGTTAGTAAGTCTAGCCTTGGATCAACTAACTAATAAAATTCTTTATCAGCTGGTTTTCCTTTTTTGTATCTATTTCCTCCTTCATATTCCCAATTTTGCATATACTTAGTCCCCTCAACTTGCTTTAACATTTCCAATTAAGAATAATCCTGTCCAATGAAGTATCCCCCATCTCAAATGTGTTCTTATGTCACCAGAAATCGCGATATTTAGCTTTAAATAAATGATTTAGAGTCCATAAATGCAATAGGAATGGGGAGCAGAGATGGGGGGTGAGGGGGAGGTGTGTTGAGAAAATAGGTCTTTCCTTACCCTTGGAGCTTCAGTGTTTGATGTTTTCATGAAAGCTAACCGTTAGAAAGGTCCCTCCCATCCTCAGAGACAGTACAGTTAAGCCCTGTGTTTCAGCCAGTTTACATATTTACACATACTCCTTGCAGGCGATGACTCCAAAGGAGTCTTTTATGCTCAGAGTAAAAAATCTCACTCTTGAGTGGTGAGTTATTCCTGTCAGGACATTAAGAATCCTCAGAAGATGATGGAAGCCTTGGTGGTGGCTGTGGTCCAGTAACATACATCTGAAGAGGTGTGATCTTATACCTCTGAATCATACACAGCATTGTAAACCAGTGTTACCTCAAGATACAAGAAAGAATCTTTCACTCCCATCCATCTTGGCTCCATGGTGTCCCTGCCCTGAGTAGACTTCTACACATTAGGACCCGTCTCCTGGTCCCTTGTGGCTGCTGCTCTTTTTCCTTGTTTGTAACACAGTTCACACATATTGTTTCATTTATTTTTTTATGATGATGCCCTATTTTGTTCCAAAAAAGAGTTGAGGCAGACTATTATGTTAATGGTAGTATAGTAATATATTCATAAAGGACTAAAAATTATATGTTGTCATAAAAGCTAGAAGTATTCATTTATCTAGAAGGGTAAATAACCTACTTTTCAAAAGGGGCTTCTTCATCATTTTTCACTCTAAATTCAGGATTCAAGTCAGAAACAGAGACGGGTGGTTTGCCCTGGGTTTCAAGTTTATATTTGGGTTTGAGAAAATGAGAGTCATGGGCAAATAAATTTTTGCAAAAGCCAGGCAGATGTTCAGGGTAATTCTAAAGCCATTCTTTAAGATGACTGCCAAAATCATTTAACTCACACAATTTTCTAGTTTTGTCCAATCCACTCAAATCTCTGATGGTCCACAAGTGCCCAATTTAACCACCAATTTGTATGTGATGAGGAGACATAGACGTGGGCTGAGGGGGAATAAGTTGCATCTGATGCCAAGCAAGGATGGGTGTTGAAACATTTGGTTTGGAGCAAACCCCAAACCAGCCCCAATATTGCCATTGATGTGGTGTCATTATTCTGCTCTCTTATTTCACCAGAAAGGTAGGACTTTGGATGGATTTCCCACCCAACTATCAAATGTGACCACAGAACAAGGGCAGGTCTGCGTTACTTTTCCCCTGGCAGAGCTCTGCCTGATCACACACATTCCCAATCAGGACAGCCTCAGGAAGGGGACGTGAGCAGAGGGTCAAGTAGGATGGGTGATTTGGCCATGTACAGCTTCTGTGGGCAGGTCAACGACAAGTGCAGTCAAATCAGAAAGACCTCTGTCACCAAAATCACTAGGGAGCTTGAAGGCAGGAAGGCAGGGAGCTTGAATATTGTGCGTGGAGATCAAACCAGTCTTGCGAATTCCTTTTTAATTATGTGATTGACTCTCTCGGGCTCCTCTCTCAGGCTCAGAGATCTTTCTGTCCTTGCCAAATAGTAAATATAATGACAGAAGTGCTTGGCTGTCATTAACATCCACATAAATGGTTAGAATGTGAGTCACCCCTGCCAGCACCACCTTCACCATCTTGTCCCTGCTCATCCCAGGAAAAAGAAGAGTTTAATAATATCCCAAGATCCAGGGATTTCTAAGCACCATTTGTCTGGGTCTTCCTGGTCATTGCTAAGGTGAGAATAGACACCCTATGAACAAACAAAAGAAGGGAAGTCTTCCTGAGCCCCACACCACGGACTGCATGTGCCAGATCTGCAGGTTCAAGCCAAGGAGTCCTCAGCTCCAAGCCAGCCACTCGTAAAGGCTCAGCATTTCCCACGCACCATGAACTAAACAGGTGAAGCAAAGCACAAAGCCAGTTATTACATTTTGTTTTGTTTTGTTTTGTTTTTAACACCGTGCTCCTTTAGCTCTGAGCTGGGGTTGAAGCTCATACCTGCACACATCTGTTATCTCTTCTTTTGCAGCTCTCCCTCTACCCCCACCCCAGCGCCCCAGAGGAGCCATTCTAGATTTCTGACAGTCCCTCTCTCGCATCCAGCATATCAGAAGCCCATATTTGTTTCCCAGGGTATATCTCAAATTCTTCTACTTCTATCTCTGCTGCCTCCCGTCTAGTCCAGCCCACTTCAGCTCCCACCCAGATCACTGCTGCTGCCTGCCTACTTCTTCCTTTGGCTCCCTAAACTCCTTCTCTGCATAATAATCAATATCTTCAAGCTGTTCCTCTGTTTAAAAGGTGCCAGACTGCATTTATAATAAGCCCAGCTCCTCTCTGTAGCCCACAAGAAGCAATATCACCAGACCCTTGCCCACTCCTCATCCTTGATCTCATGCCATCTTTGAGATATAGGGATACCGGGTGCTTTCTGGCTCAGGACTTTGAGTGGTTTTTCCCTCTGCTTTACATATTCCACCTCTGGCTCTCTAGAAGACTGCCTCCTCAGCATTCTTCAAGCCATAGCTTCCCCATCACTTCTCCGAGGGATCTTGGCTGCACCCCAACTCCTGGCCCCCATGATCCCTCCAGTCTTATCACAAACTGAACTCCCATAAGTGTAATCATTATTGTCTACTTCTCTCGCTAAAATGTATCCTTGAATCTACATTGCTCATTGCTGAAACCTCCCCACCTGGAAGAAGACCTGGCCCATTGTAGATGCACAATTAAGCTCTGCCCCAAGCTGCTCCTCCCCCATCCCTACCCCAGTCTCTGCCTACTCCTTGCCTGTGTTTCTGCCCCATTGATTCCTTCTAGAACTGGTGACCTTCTCAGAGCCATGGCAAGTGTTTCCTCCTCACACCACACCCCAAAATTATTTTTCTATTATAGGAAAAAACATTTTAAAACAAGATCAATTTAGTACACACAAAAAGACATTTATTTGCTCACCCACCCAGTAAGCATTCTGTCCTCGATCATTTGGCCCAATGCCTTTTAGACAGTAGATGAAGATATATGCTGATTACTTCCCCATCCTTGAGAAGTTTATAGCTTACTATACCTGCATAACTTAAAAAAAAAAGTGATGATTAAAAAACTGCTAAAATGACATGAGCAATGTACATGAGTCACCAGGAGTGTTCAAATGCAATAGACATCATGGCAAACTGAGGTCATCCAGGAAGACCTCACAGAGATAGAATGTGAATGGTGTGGAATGTGGACAGAAGAAAGACAAGTGGGGACTTAGATGAAAGATAAAGTCAAGCAGGAAGGCAGCCCTGAAACAGAAAAGTACGAGGAGGATTGAGGAGGAGACATAGATCAACCGGGCTGACTCCAAGCCCCATAAAGGACAGAGCAGGAGGAAGGCAGTCAGAATGAGTTGGAAGTACCCCCATGCTAAAGAAATTTGATCTACAGAAGCAAAAAGCCAGCAGTGCACACTGGGGATTCCATAAGCCAAAGACACCATCAGTACGTAGGTTTGATGCCCTGTGTGCACATGTGTGTGTGTGTGCAAACAAAAGTATTTCAAGGTGCAGATTATAGAGCTAAAATGCTATTACAATATCTGTAGGTCCAACTGAAGTCAAATATATGTACTCATCTTTATTTTTAACATCTTCCTAATATTTTAGCAAATGGCAGTCATCCTTATAGGTAAAAGGTTGCATTTCTCAACTTTAATTGTTCATCCTTGATGTGTTAACCTGAGTCAATCATAGAAAATTTTCTACCATCTACAATCCGTTATGACAATAAGCCTTAATAACAAAATAAAAGAATTTTACTTTGTGTATAGTTTTATTTTATCAGTTATATTTGCCATTTACTGCCCACAGATTTAAGAGTAAACTTTTTCTACTCTCTACTTACTTTTCCACAGAAAAGCTTGTAAAGTACTCTCTACTTACTTTTCCACAGAAAAGCTTATATATTTGGAGTTTTGATTTTAAAATTGCCACATTTCTTTATGTAATTTCCTCCCTCTTTTCAAACCTTTAAAATACCACAGGTTATTTGGATTCCCAACAGCTTAAAGAGAATTAAAAAAAAAAATTGCTAGTTCCATAAACATAGCTGTATAAATTTAAATTTATAAATTTATAAATTGTATAAATGTAAGTGTTATTCAGATCCATTCACATGGATGTGTGTGTATCACTGTAGCAACATTTACCATATGATATCATTATAGTATAGTATTAGTGTATGTTCCTGTGCTATGCATTAGATCTTTATGACTAATTTACTACTTGTACCCTTAAACGCCTTTTACCCCCCATACTCTGGTAATTATCTTACTGTGTTTCACAGGTTTGACATTTTTAGAGTCCATGTATGAGTAATATTATACAGTACTGTCTTTCTCTTGCTTACCATAATGCTCAAAGTTCATCATGTTGTCACAAATGACAGGATTTCCTCCTTTCTCACAGTTGAATAGTATTCTATTATAAACATACATATGCCATATTTTCCATTTCCATTCATCCGTTGATGGGCAATTGGGAGGTTTCCATATCTTGGCTTTGTGAATAATGCTGTTATGAAGTTGGGAGTACAAATATCTTGTCCAAATCATTTCCTTTAAATCATTTCCATTTCCCAGAAGTGGAATTGCTGGATTGTATGGTAAATCTATTTTTAATATTTTGAAGGACTTCCTTACTGTTTTCCTTACTGGTTGCCCTAATTTACATTCCTGCCAATAGGATGTAAGAATTCCCTTCTTGGTCTATTTTCTCCATTACCTGTGGTCTTCTGTCCCCTAATGTGAGCCATTATGACAGATGTAAGATAATAGCACACTGTGGTTTTGATTTGCATATCCCTTATGATTGGTGATGTTGAGCATCTGTTCATATGCCTGTGGCTATTTTGATGTTCTCTTTGAAATGAATGAAAATTAACCTACTGAAATATCAAAGGATGCTGAATACCATTTAAATACAAATCAGATTAGATATGTCTGTGGTCAGTGAGAAGATGCTTGTATTCAACCAAGCCAAAGCCCTGTTATTACAATTTTCTTCTAAAAAATGTACTCTTTGCCGATGTGTGTTTATGTATCTATACTTGTGTGCGTGTGTAAAACTCCACTTTTTCAATGTATGCCAACATTCCTTTCATGAGTTATCTTGTTGAATTGGTTCTACTTTAATTATAGTGTTCTAAAGTAGACAAGGCAAGTGAGATGAGCTTCATTTTCAAAGTGAGAGGAATTATAAAGACCAGCAAGAAGCCAGAAGGATATAAGGGGTAGCAGTTACCAACGGAGGAGCTGATGTAGCTTTTCCTCTAGCTTAGTCTATATAAGAACGCCAATGAGACAGAATGAGAATGAAGCTTTCCATAAGTTCTAGAAAGCCAACAGAACAGTAATCTCCCATGGGTTAGTGTGCCAGCAATGCCCCAAAGCATCATCGCTGGTATGAAAACACAAACACAATAGAAACCACATTTCTTTTCCTTCCACTCACTGCCCCCAAAACAGATAATAAAAGTCAAATAAAATAAACTGAAGAACCTACTGGATAATCCAAGAAAGGTCAATGCTGCCAGAGCTTCTTATGTAATAAACTTAAAAACCCTCCCCTAGCTATAACCATGACTTCCGCACCCCTGGGGGACTTGAGCTGCTCCTGTTGATTCTGGCACCCTGGCAATAAGAGAGTAAAAGAATTATCCTTTACTTTTCTCTATGCTGAAAATTAGATGTGAGCAGTGTTGAGAAAAATGGGGAAAGAAATGGGTTAATGGGGTTACTCTGAGCTACAGGTGGTCACTGTTAGGTCAGTGGTTCTCCACAGCATCATCATGTCCTGGGAACTTGTTAGAAATGCAAGTCAGAAACACAAGGGGTAGAGCCCAGCAGTCAATTCTGGTGCACAAGGAATCTTGGAATTACAATGCAGCCTATCACTGCCAGGGCCCTCATCTCCCTGAAAGGAGGGATTCAGTCTTTCTTGACTGGTTCACGATATCAGTTCTTCCTGCTCACCTCTGCTCACCCTCCCAAACCTCCTAACCCTTGGTGCCTTGTCCTATCTGTTCGAAGGCATAGGTGGCTCTAAACAAGTGGCCACCCAGGGCAGGACCGAAGTCTCTGAGCCCCCTAGTTGCATTCACAGTCCAGCAATATTACAGGAGAGGGTGGAGAACAGGCTGATATGCTCTGTTCCCTCATGTAAAAGCCCCCAACTGACAGGGAGAGAATGGGCTCTGGGAAGACTGCGGTCTGGCATCTGTGCCACCAGGGTCCCTTGTGCCACCAGGGTCCCTTGTGCCACCAGGGTCCCTGTCCCAGGCTCAGAGACCTGCTCTCAACCTCCCTGAGCCCTTTCTTGCTCATCTGCCAATCAGGGATTTTGTGAGCACTACCTCACATAAAGCACATGAAGAGCTGACTGACTTGTAGGCCATGGATAAATGATGGTGGTGGCTATCACAGTAAGAGGAGTAGAAAGGACCAGTCCTCACAGGAAGCACTGGTGACAACAGGAATGCACCTGAAGTCACACCAGGGAGGTCACTGAATACCAGGCTGAGTTGATCAATGGCTGCAGTGGACACTTGGGAGCCTAATATGAGTCCAGCTGCCAGGCAGGGGTGCAGAGAGATGCTTGCTAAACTTCCAATTCTTCACCATGAGGCCCTAGGGAGACCAGAAATCTGCATTTATAAAGGTCCCCAGGTGACACCTCTGCTGACTTATCACCCTTTGAGCAGCAAGGCCATGGATTGTTCCCAGGGTGCACATGAGTAAATTCCCTGCTGTGTCCTCAAGTTTGCCAGTTTGCAGAGCTCAGTTTCCTGTAAGCAACCTAGAGATCTTCCCCCACAGCCTGAGAGAGCTCCTCCAACTGGAGTCCATAAGGCAGACGCGAACTTCCTGCCCCTGCTGCTGGGACAGAAGAGCAAATCTCTACCAGGCTCTGTCTCCCAGGGCTCCCCTATCTTACCCCCACCATCACTGCCCACTCTATGCTCAACTCCCATTCAGAAACACCAGGTTGAGCAGTGCACTGAAAATACCATCCTCTGGCACAGTGAACCCCCTTGTGTATAAGAGGCAGGATCCTAGTTCTTGCTATTTCCCCTCCCCCATTCTTTCTGCAGCAAAAGATCTGCAGAGATTCTCAGGGTTGGGGGAGAGAAAGGACTTGGGTGGGGGTGGGGGGAGTGTAAAAATGATGGCCAAGACATAGATCCATGTCAGAGAACTAAATAATGTGAAAACTGTAGTTTGTTCATAAAGGCTGTGAAAACCAGAAACCATGGGCTTAAAAGAGATTTTCTGCCACCTGAGGACTATGATGAATAAAGATCCTATCAATGTCTTCACTTCAATCTTTCTTGCTTCTCCTTAGCCAGAAGACATTGGACAAGCACCAATAGTAAATGCCCCAGAAGGTGGAAAGGTCGACTTGGAAGCCTTCAGCCATTTCACAAAAATCATCACACCAGCAATTACTAGAGTGGTGGATTTTGCCAAAAAGTTGCCTATGTTTTGTGAGGTGAGGAAATTGTTTTTCCTTTTGTATTATTTCTCACTACAGTTCCATCAACTTTTGGAAATACTAGGCATTGTTTATCATTTCATACAAATAGCTGTACAGAAGCAATGTCAGTCCAAAATGAAAATACACTGTTTTATCTTTATTTCCCATCTTTATTTCAGTCACCATTCATTAGCTTGTCCACAGGAGGTCAATAAAGATCCTAGTCATTCCACCAGACATGGGGAAGTAACGATAAGACTTCCATTCATGCCACACCTATGATATCCTAGTTAGCATGCCCATGTGAGATCAATCCCTGTCACAGACCTGCAGGGTGATTTTTATTAACCTTACTTTATATCTGGAAAAAATTAAGATAAAAAAGGTTGAGTTCATTTATCGAAATATAAGGCCATGATATGAATCTAAGTCTGTTTTTTTTTTTTCCACTCCATATCCCAGCAACTCGGCTATATACTTATTCCTTAACCTTCAAAAATATGTTAAATGACCTTCCCAGAACTAGGCTTGTTTTTTTTTCCTTTGTGATTCATTTTTTTGTTTGTTTTTATACAAAGCTCTTAATGTCCCCTTAAACCTTCCCTCTTTTTCCTCTAAATTCATTGTTTCTGCCCCATTATCAGGACACTCCAAAGAGCTTACCCACAGGAACTCACAGGTTTTCTTTTGAGGACACCTCACTCCTAACTCAGGAGTTGCCACGTGGTAGCTGAGAGTTTGGGCTCTGCAGTCAGTTGCAGGGGCAAGAATCCTAGACATCAGTTAATGTATTCAAATTTTGGTTATCTCATCTTTTCAGTGGGTTTCATTATAGTATCTACCTCTTAGGGCTGCCAGGACACTGAAATGGGATCACAGATGTAAAATGCTCGGACAATGCCTAGGTTGTCCATAGCCCATACAGTTTAGCTGTTAATACAGCTGTGACTCATCCATTAAATTACCCTCCTACCTTTAAGCCACCTGTTTGAATCAAGTGGGGTTAATAATGTTCACTGGAGAGAAGTTTTTCCTTGAAATACCCCATCTATGACTATTCACACCTCCAAGAGGACACCAAGTACATAGGAGCAGGTAGCTGCTGTGAGCTGCTTCTGAAAGCTACAGGGAATCCAGTCTCACCCAGCAAGAAACTGAATGTCCTTGCCTGGAAGGATTCCATCTTGCCTTAACTCCCAGTTCATGTGTGTCTTTGAGTTTGCAATCGTGGGAACTCAGCTAGAGTCAGAAGCGCCTCAAACGCTGATGGGCACCTCTCTTGTTTCAATGTGAAGGCTATTTCTGAGTCTCCACACATGCCATGGAAGGGCAGGCATTGGCTTCAGGATGCGAGTTTCTGACACCCCACTGACCTCAGACCTAGCGGACGGTGTATGCCTCTCTCTCCCCTGGCTAGGGTGGGGACCAGGGGACAAGATGAACTACCAGCAACTCTGCAGTGGGAAGCACTCATCACCCCCCCCCCCCCCGTCAAGGAATCCTGGAGAGAATCCTGGAGGCAGAATTTTAATATGACTTCTATTTTTTTTTTAATTTGACATGTATTATAAAAATAATACCTATTTGTTGAAGATTTATATAGCAAACATGATTCACTATCATAAATGATAACATTACCAAGAGATAGATTGTTAATATTTTAGACCCTATTTTAGCCTTATTGAAAAATACATGTATATACATATTAGTGCATACACGCAATGTTTGTGAAGTTTGAAATATAGCAGCATCATTTATACTATCATGTACTTTATATTTATGAAACTATATTTTATGAACTTCTTATTTAAGAATAATGAGTACATATCATAAGGGTGAGTTCAGTGTATTTTCAGCCTTAACACACCCACCTAATCAACACCCAGATCAAGACTCAGAAATGATCAGCACCTCATTATACCTGACTTTTTACACTCCACTGTAGAATATACCATTTAACTAATCTTTCACAACTTTTAATGACCACTTAGAAATCCAAAGAATAGATCTACTATAATGTGGATCTTTTACTGACTCGAGTTAATTGCTAATTTTCATTAACATAAGTATTCCACAATGAATATTTCAATAGCTGTGTCCTGCACATACCACTGATTCTTTCCTAAGGGCAAGTCCTGGAAGTAAATTTGTCCCATTTTACTATGTCCTACAGAGGAGGGGCCCGCTCACATCTGTGTAGGCTACTGTTTCCTCTCACTCTTGCTGTTAGTTGAGCTCATTTTCTAGACCTCTCTTGGTCCTCTCTTTCTCTTGGCTCTGTCCCTTGTCCCCCTGTCCATGGTATCTGAGAAAGAGCTCTTTTGAATCTGCTAACCTTGCAACTTGAGCTAACCTGTTAATCATTTTGAATGCCCACCCAAAAAAGGTTTAAAAAACATTTTTTTACAAAACCATTTTTAGAAAACCTTTTTACCAAAAAGTTTACAAAGGTTTTCAAACCTTTGTACACCAACCACTAAAAGGTCTTTCAGTTAATGAAAGGGCAAAACCAGATCCAGCTCTACTAACAAACACACCATAGCCTTAGCGTGTGACAAGGATCATGGCACCACAAGAACTTTTCAAGCATTGGTTGTAGCAATCACCCCTCTTCAAGTTTGCCTCCTAAGTTTAAGCCTGCTTCAAAGTCATGTTTCCATCTTTCTTGCAACACTGATATTTTATTTTCTCCAAACTACACATACACACACACACACACACACACACACAAGACAGCAGAAATGCTTGTTTCCAGTTCTATGGCCTGCTGGAGACCTTTAACTCTTAATGCTCTTTTTGGAAGCCCAAGGAGGGAAATGCACTGTGTGGCCACTGAGTTATGCATGCAGTGGTCTGAGGCCCTAGGTGATCATAGATTTTTGCTGGAAGCAACTGGATGCACCTGCTATTCGAATTGTGCTCACAGTTCAATTTCTGCTAAGATCTCAGCAAACCCTCTACCCCCGGTTGGTAGACACCCAGGCCTTTCAAAACTGACAATCTCTGCTAGCAGAGCTGCCAGAAATACACATACAAAGCACATCTAAAGTGTAGGGAATTGTTGTCTTTGCCAGTCAACCTGACTGACACTCTGCTGAAAAGACAATAAGAGTCTGTGGGTGGAGCCCTGCGCCTCTGCCTGTCATGTCCATCATGGAGCATTCTCGCAATGAAAGTATTTTGGCAGGTAACTAAAAGGCTATTTGCTCACATGTTGAAACAACCTCACCAGGATCCTATATTTCCTCTTAGAAGTAGACATCTGGCCTACTTTTGAAGATGTTGATGATCCATGACAAATGCTTGCTCAGCTTTTACTTCAGTTTGAACTAATCAGTGGTAAAATTTTAAAAAGAAAACTTCAAATTCATCTATAATCTGACTCTGCCCAAGTTGGCATACTCTGTGACAGATGCTTTTTTAAATGTTTGATCTTTTTCATAATTTCTCATTGCTATTCTATGCCAGGATTCTCAAGAGCAAGGTCCCTACCAACTACACGGTATCCCTTGGGAACTGAGAATACAGAAATTCAAAGGGTGGAGCAGCAATGAACTTATAATAAATCTTTGAGAGGCCCTAAGGAATCAGCACCCTCAGCAGTAAAGCAGCCTCCACTTATGCCCGCCAATTCTCCTCTTACCTGCGGGAAGATCTATACAAACTTGGGTTTGCTATGTTCTACCATGCTTATAGGCCAGGAATCCAAGGATGTACCTGAAGAGTACAGATCAAACCTAAACAAAAGCATATAGGTGTCATTATTTTTTTTTAATATTCTATATATTTTTTACATCATTCTGCATTTTTATACAATGTATGCTTTATCATGAGTATGGACCCCAAGAAATTCACACCACCAGTTCACCTGTGTACCAGCACGGTAGTGCTCTTCCCATCCTTGTTTTGATCCAGTTTCCTTCTCCCCACCTCCCCCCCCCACGCCCCACAAAGAATACCTCTGGTTATAGTTGCCTGTTGGTTTTGATTTTTACTTTGTTATAATTACAGCTCTTGTTTGGTTCCCCTGTGTTCCTCCTGTAAGTGAAACCATCTGGTATTTTTCTTTTCTTTCTGGCTTATTTCACTGAGCCTGATCCCTTCCAGCTCCATCCATGTTGCTGCAAATGGCATGAGTTTATCTTTTTGATTGCTGAGTAATATTCCATTCTGTATATGTACCACATCTTTTTTATCCAGTCATCTATTTTGGGATATTTGTTTTGTTTCCATAGCTTACCTATTGTAAACAGTGCTGCAATAAACATAGGGATGCAGGTGCTCTTTTGAATGAGGGTTTTTGCATCAAAGGTGTCATTAACTTTTAATGAGCCCAAGGTGAAAATTCACTTATATTGATTCTAGATTCAAATATGAGATGACTTTTATTCTGTAGAAGTCAAGTAATTTAAACTTAAGTGGGATGGTTGCTAGGTTGGGCTAGTGAAAAATATATAATACCCAGTATTTTAAATTCCAATGAATTAGAATTGCTTACAGTTTTATATAACAGCCTAGACTAAACTAGTCCAGTGTTGCTTTAAATGTTTCCCAAAAAGAAGAGAGAGAGATTATGTGTAAATTCCATATTCATTATTGATGGAAACTTAGTCATATCCCACGTACTTCCAAAAATTGTGTTATTTTTCTTCTGTAACACTCCCCAGTCACGTGACACCCAGCAACCCCCAGCACTGTACTCAACCACTCAATATTGGATTCCCACATCTGTAGCATTGCTGTGAAGATTAAATAATAAGGTGATGTATGTGAATCTTAACACAATGCCTAATTCATCAGATAGCAATGAACTAATAATAGTCTTTCAAACTATTTTGCTAGTGGCATTTATTTTCCACCTTTAGGAGAAAAAAAACTAATGTTTTTTATTATTTTGCCTAGCCAAAATCTTTATTTTTAAAGACTTCTTAATGTTATCACATTATCATAAGTCCTAACTAGTTAACAGGTCAACCAAATGAATTAAAAATGAGATTGCAAACCTGGCAGAAAGATCCAGAGTGTGAAGTAATTCTGGTGCCTGAGATACTTAGAACAAAACTCTAGCACCCAGGAGGTCTGAGCACCATTCTCACCTTTGCCCCTAACTCACTGGATGGCCTTGGACACAGCCTTTACATCTCTGAGCCTCCTGGTTGCTTCCATAGCAACCTTCTAATTCTGTGCCTTTTTAAGAGACTCAAAGAACAAATTTACTTTAAAAAACAAGAGAGGCACAGTTGCCAGCTATATGGTAGGCTGAATTATTTAGAAATAGAGCAACAAGACAAAAATGACTGACACGTGTCTGTTTGTTCTTTGCTGACGTGGTTGGTCCTTTTCAGCTGCCATGTGAAGACCAGATAATCCTCCTCAAAGGCTGCTGCATGGAGATCATGTCCCTTCGTGCCGCTGTGCGCTATGACCCAGAAAGTGAGACTTTAACCCTGAATGGGGAAATGGCAGTGACACGGGGCCAGCTGAAAAACGGGGGTCTTGGAGTCGTGTCGGATGCCATCTTTGACCTGGGCATGTCTCTGTCTTCTTTCAACCTTGATGACACTGAAGTAGCTCTCCTTCAGGCCGTCCTGCTGATGTCCTCAGGTGAGTATGCCCAAAGAGCCTTTGCTTGTCTGGCCAGTTCTAATCACTTGATGAGATTTCAATCCTCCTTTAACTTCAGAATCACAGCTCAGGCTCCTTCAGTGCCCACTTGGGGGTTTACCAATGGACTGTCCCGGATTCAAGAGTCCAATGGGCAAGTCCCAGATTCAAGAGTCCACTTCAGCTGGGTGGAGTGGCAAAGGATATGCAGGCAGATTTAGCCCACCATCGCTCATTACTGAGACCCCTCACTCACATCATTGAAAAATAGAGAAAAAGGCTGCCACTGTTTTCCTCAGGGGTCATGTCACAATAAATAAATGCAAAACATATCACATTCTTGAAGAAAAGTTAGTTAGTCTTAAACTAGAAGGTACCTTCAGAGTCATCTCTGCACTTTCAGATGACCCCGTATTTTGCTGTGGTTCAACACTTTACACTGTGCCACTGCCATCTGCTTAACTTGCCCGTCACTCCCATTGTGGGGTGATGTCGATGTGCCCCACTCACTCACTCACTTTTTGCTATTGAGTCCCATTGTTTTGTTTGGCATTTCAGATACACAACTTGAACCACATCAACCTATTCACCCATCTTCTCTAGGTCACGTCTACGGCCATCTTGTCTTTAGCTCTTATCAAAGAACAGAGTTTTGAAACCACAAAGCCATGGTTCTTTTCCTCCTTTGAAAGAATACATCCAGAGCAGTGTTATGTTGATTTTCTATTTGGATCAAAAGTTAAGAGACCCTATAGCCAGTTCTTCTGGTGCACTCAAAGGAGAAAGTGAGCAGGTCCACAGACAGTGCCTCCCCTGTGAAGGGAAGCACACAGCAAAAATGCACCAATTGTAATGAGCTAAATAAGGGAGTTCCTATATTTTATTTATACCTAGAAAGATGAACTAATACATTTGCCCTATCGTCCCATTTAGATCAAACAGAACCCTCTTTAGATTTCTATCAGTACAGATTCTTTAATCACTGGACACTTGACAACACTTCTAACTATGGTGATCAAGGATCAACTGTATATAAATGTTTTTTTCTTTTTCTTTTTTTTGTTGAGGTTTCCAGATTTTCTTTCCTTCCTCTCTCTCTTTTTTTAACAGTTTATTTTTACATCACTTTTTTTTTCCATCTCAATTGTAATCCCCACGGGCTTCCCATCACCAAGTCATCCATGTGCCATTACCATAATCCCGTGCACTTCCCTCCCCACCCCCCTGTTTTTGATCCCATTCCCCACTCCACCCCCGCAAAATGTCTCTGGTTATGGTTGTTCATTATTCCTGTTATTTTCTCGCCTGGTCCATTATACTCCTGCTATGAGTGAAACCATCTGGTATTTTTCTTTCTCTTTCTGGCTTATCTTTTCCAGCTCCATCCAAGTTGCTGCAAAAGACATGTGTTTCTCTTTTTTGGTTGCTGAGTAATATTCCATTGTATGTATGTACCAGTCATATATCCAGTCATCTACTTTTGGGCATTTGGGCTGCTTCCATGTTTTTCCAATTGTAAACAAAGCAGCAATAAACATGGGGGTGCAGGTATCTTTTTCAATCAGTGTTTTTGTGTCTTTTGTGTAGATACCTAGGAGTGGGGTTGCTAGGTCATAGGGAATCTCCATGTTTAGCAGTTTGAGGAACCTCCAGTTTTCCATAGTGGTTGTACTAGTTTGCATTCCCACCAGCAGTGTAGGAAAGTTCCTTTTTCTCCACATCCTTGCCAACATTATAAATGTTTTTTTTTTCTTTTTTTAAGTAACAACATAAATAGGGTGGATGACTATTATTGGTTGATCACATTAAAGATATGTCATCAGCATTTTAAAAATAAAAAATTAACTAGAAACTGGAACTTTTGAATTCATTTCCTCAAAGCCACCAAAGAAAATCCAGGAGAACTGGGCAAAGAGGTCACGCTTCTAGGAGCAATATTAGGAATTCATCTAGGTGTATAAATTATTCTTACAACTCAAGTGCTGGTAGCCTGGATGTGTCATAGTCATGCAGCCTTCTTAAGACACCCCATCCTACCATTAGGACTGCCTTGACCCCCTCCCACCCACCTGGGAAGATCAGTGGTCCTCCCAAGGCTTGGAAAGATTTTATCGATCCTGGTGTCTGCCTCTGTCCCAGTGTCACTCCTTTGCACAGGGTGACTCTAGTATGGTTCACATCCTTTTCACTTTTTATTTTAATTCTCCAAAACGCCACCAATGCAAGGTAACTACAGGTGACAGTTTTACTACGTGTACAAGGGAAGGGAAGGTGTGGTTCACAACAGCCTGACTAACAACTGGAATGCAATATTCAGCTTCTTTGCCTTCATGGGAGTTTCTTAACTGTGCGATGGTCCTCCTTTGGCATCTGCACCTCCCAAAGTGTTTCCAGTCTCTCTTCACCTCTCCCTGCTCTGTCATATCCTTGCATGTCTTCCCTTCTCTCCCAGGGAGTCAGCAGAAACTCAAAATCCTTCCTCTCATTCTGCAGAGTGTTCCAGCTCTTCAATGAAGCTTCTCCTTCTGTCCCCTATGAGGGCAGCTTTGACATTCACACCCAAAGTGGTGATTTTCTAAACCAGAAACATTCATTTGGACAAAGCAAAGACTCCCTTCATCCAAGTCATGTCAGTCCCTGGTGTTTTGGCCCCTGATGCCCCAGAGATCATGTTGCCGACATGCTCCTTCTTTGAGTTAAAAAGTTCCCACATCTGCCCACTTCTTAGTCAAGGATTTGAATCAGATAAGATAAACCTTCTCCTTTTCGCCTTTAAATTAACATCCATCCTCTTTCTTCCCTGCAGACCGCCCAGGGCTTGCCTGTGTTGAGAGAATAGAGAAATACCAAGATAGTTTCCTGCTGGCCTTTGAACACTATATCAATTACCGAAAACATCATGTGACACACTTTTGGCCAAAACTCCTGATGAAGGTGACAGACCTGAGGATGATTGGAGCCTGTCATGCCAGCCGCTTCCTGCACATGAAGGTGGAATGCCCCACAGAACTCTTCCCCCCGTTGTTCTTGGAAGTGTTTGAAGATTAGATGGACTCAATTCATTCCCATAATTCTTATAGCACTGTTGGGTGTCATTTCATTCCATTGCCTAGCTCTCTCTTTTGTTTGTTTGTTCTTTCATTTCTTTGTGTTGGGAGGGATTGTTTGGGGGTACAAGGAGGTAGTCCTTGGCATAGACATGGATGAAACCGCCCCTTGAATTCGGGTATTTGTAACTATTGTATTTTGTTCTCCCGTCCTTTGATGTGAATACTTTGAAGGTTTTACAGTGGTGGAGGTGGGGTGGGGACAATCATTAATTCACCAGCACCAAGTCATCACCAGCTCCCATCTGTCCCGGGTCAGAGACTCAAGCAAGCAAAACGGCACAGCAAAAGACTAAAGAAGCCTTAATACTGAGATAATATAGTCATCTTGACCCAATCCCGAGTTTTGCAGAGCTAAATGTGGCTCTCAGCTTTCTAGGGAAAGGTCTGAATGAATTTCTATTTACCCATTCAAACGCATGCTGTTTTCACACTCTTCATTCTCTCCCAAGAGCATAACTTGGAATGTACAGAAATATTTATTCCTGAAAAAGAAGATCCCTTTCACTGTAATTTTTATAACCCTAGGATTGAATTCAAGTTATAAAAGGATGTGACTCAAGGATAGGCAGGTATTTGAGTGAGGCCAAGAAGGAAAGCCATTTTCTTCTGCAAGCCCAAAGAAATTAGAAATCTTCACCAATATCAGTGACGCAACAGTTTCCCAAAATTCATATGGTATTACCTCATCATAGAACGTCTTCTTCATAATTTTGACTCAGAAAATTTCCACAGGAATGAAGCCCACTATCACTTTTCAGCGACATCCAATCCATTACCTCCCAAATTTCTGAAGTTATGTGGTCCTGATGACATCTTTGCTGAGCTGACAACAGAGTTCTTTGTGGTCCAAATCTCCTGATAAAGAAGGCAAAATCTGGGCCTTATTCTGGCAGTAGCATTCTGAGCTGAAGGAAATGCAGTGTTCCTAAAGTCCCCTTCACAGATGGATGTTTGAGACTGCTTCCTTCTCATCGTAGGTCCTCAAGCTCTTTGCTCTCCTGGAAAACGTTTCCTCATCCCCTTATCCCATGGACTCTGAGGCTTGACTCTTGCTGAGCTAAGTCTGGTCATGGACCCTATCTCTTCTTCTTATAGCTTTTCCCTGACAGGTACCCAACAGAAGACACTGGCAGACCATGAACACTACCCGTCCCTCTCCTTGCATACCCTGCCTCTCCATGACAAATGCTGGAGTCACTTGTGCCCAGGAAAAAAAATGGTAATGCCTCATCGCTTCAGCGTCAGAAAATGGGCAAAGGATGCACCCATGCAATTGAATGTATCTTGTCCTTCACTGGCATAGTAGACATGAGCTATCCTATTGCCTGCCTTTTACTGCCTTATCCTGGAAATATTGGGGGAAAATAAGCCATATCAATGGGATTGACCTGAAAGCAAATGAATGAAATTCACTGTATAAACCAAGTAAACTAATTTTTTTTTTTTTTAAGTTTGGTGGAGCCAAATGGACCCAGCCATTAGGGTACCTGAATTTTAGTTGGTGCTCTGTCAAGTGATAGATTTATGACCTTGGATCTTGGTTTTCTCATCTAGTGAATAAGTAATGAAATCTGAAACCCATCTGACCTTTAATATTGTATGAATTTTATGGGAAAGAATCTGATTATTTTGACAATGTTTCATATTCAAATTTCTAGCTGTATTAGAAAACAATTATGGTCCTCTTAGTAGGCAAAGAAAGACTGTTTGGTTCGCAATAAGAATCTAGTCAGCTATTTAGAGGAAGACAGGATGGCCTTGGAAGAAGGAAAGGAACAGCTTTGAGAACCTCAAGCATAACAGAAAATAACCTATGAGTAAAATCACATGTTTGATGCTCTGAAATAACTGCACTGGCTTCTGGGGAGAAGGAAACAACATCATCACTGTGGAACTTGCCAGCCAGAGAAAAGAAGTAGGTAAAGAGAGGAAAATTATAAGCATGAAGTTCATGAAACTATTACCTGCTTTCACTTTATCTGCAAACAGATTTCATTTTTCTTTTTGTTTGTTTTCTGAACATTCTCTCTGCTACTCCTTGTTTTGTTAACAACTTGGCTCCCTCTGCTGAGTCTCCTTAGAAAATTTCTCTGAGACAAAGAGCTTAATTACCACCAGTGCTCCAGAGTAACTCTGAGAAGCTTTGTGGTGTGGGGTAAATTTTCCTCAGAATAGAATAAGAGGAAGGCAATGGGTAGAGTACAAGAAGAGTTCAGACTCCTGGCACACTAGGCCTTCCTGAGAAAGTTTCCTCAATATATTTGGTAAAGATTCCCAGTATATCAGACAACCCCAGGTTCCACTGTATGCGCACACCTATCTAAAGCTTTGGGGATTAACTATCTCTGGGCATTGGCCAAATGGTACAGTAAATCTACAGCAATCCAGTCAACCCCAGGTAAATTTCTAGCTGATTCTTGGTTTCTTAAAGGACTCCCTTAAATAGATAAACCAATGACCTGAAAGGAAGCCTGACTATATAGAGGAAAATGAGCCTTAAAGTACTTCAGGTTAAAAGGAAAGGTTATAAGAACTCAATGGATCATGAACCCAGTGGTCAACACAACCAACTCATTCCTTTTGTAACTGATTGAGGTATTAGTGCATCTCAAGACTCCATCTCATAAAACTCATGAGGAGAAATTTGCTCTGGATTTTTTTTTTAACTTTTTTTTTTTCTTATATTGTCCGGACTTTCAAATCGAGTGTGGACCTGATTGAAAGCCCCCATGGGGGCGGGGGTTCCCAGTAGAGGAGAACATGTCCATCCAACTGGGATTCTATTTATATATGACTTAACTTTTAGGGATGCGTGTGTGCGCGTGTGTGTGTGAGTGTGTTCGTAATCCTCAAGTGTACTTTGCTCTTCAATATAGATGTGCAGTATTTCCAGAAATATTAAAAAATGTAAGATCCTTCTTCTTTATGAATCTGCTCAAAACACCACGTGCTGCCTCAGAGCTTTCTCTAGTCAAATGAGCCTCGATCCTCAATGATGCGCTTGCTGTGTTGACGCCTCAACCCAGTGAAACCACAACCCGTGCCCCAGTGACACCTCTTCCATCTGCAGCGCGGTCAGCAGGGTGGCTCGCCTGGCCTGTCTCTACTCCAACAAGGTCATTCTCGTTGCTCTTCCGTGAACAGGTGTGCAAGCCTTGGCCCCTCTTCAACATCAAGCCCCCACCCCACACACACAGACTCAGCCCCCACGGAACTGCTGAGCACCCTCAGCGCATGTCATTCATTGTCAGTGATACATTTTTATTCTATGGAACTCTAACCTATTCGTGTCATATTGACCTTTTGCTGCATGAGTAATAAATTATAAATCAGTCTTATGGTTTTTGAAACGTAGCCAGCATTTGTAAGGCTAAACCTTTTTCATAAACTGAATTTAAGTGAATAACCAAGCCACAGTTCCTCCAAAAGGAGAGTGCTTAAAAACCTTGGAATTTCTTTGCCCTTTCCAAAGGCTATGGCATCAGGTTCTAAAATAAGCTCGTAATTTTTCCTGTTATTTTAATAATATGGAAATAATAGCCTAGTGTTTCTTTTGATAGTGATAGACTATAATCCATATTTAAATTTTATAGAGAAAAAAATTTTATTGTACTGTGATGTAGATATTTATTATCCAGGTAAGGATTTGCCCGGTGTGTATTTTTTACAATTGAAACATTTTACTTTAATCTTTAAAAAAAAAAAAAGTTAAAAACACACACAAAAAAAACCCATAAACTAGGGGGAAAAAAGGTTTGGCCTTATCACAGAATTTTTACTGTGCTGTATAAATGTTTGCAAATGCAAAAAGTGTGCATTTCTAGTGTGTCTCCACATTAATCAATGCCGCCTTCAAGAGCAATATCATGCAGGTAACACGCTGTTTGTGGCTTTCTGTTGCACAGTTAAAGTTGACCCACTTTATGCACAAGACAATCAAATATAAATCTGTCCTTCTCAGGATGCAGATAAATACTCATGTAAATTATGGAGCACAATGTAAGACAAAAGAAGATTTTATTTAATTACACATGTTTTGTTGATACGGAAGATATCAGGGCATGAATGAGCTGACATTATGCCACTTCTTTCTTCTGGCTCTGACTAATTAACCTGGTATTTTTCATTTAATTTTTAGAGCCAAATTAATTCTCCATGCTTTCTTCAGAGAAAACACTATCCTCCTGCCACCCACACACAAACACAAATTTTCATGCCCTGAAAATCAGAAAAATACTCAATAGGAAAAGATTTACAGTCATTGGAAGATTTGTGTTTTGCAAACAGTGTTAAGTGATATTGCTAGATTGGTAATATTTTTTTTTTTCAGCCTAAAACTGTTGAAATCTGTGATCAATCTGTTTTAAACTATCCAAAAAGGAAATTTGTATATTTGGGAAAAATGGATTTTTACATAGCTTTTGTATGCAGATATTAAATTGTAATTATGAATATAGTGGGCATAGATAAACTCATAAGCTTCAATTCTAAAAAAGAAAAATGAAAAAAGAAAAAGCTTATAACAAATATAATTTCCTGAGTCTTTCTTTAATTATTATTTTCTAAATAGTTATAGGATTGTCTGTTCTTATCTTTCCTGCTTCCAATGGTAGAAAAACAGGGATGGAAAGGCATTTGTTTCATAAACATCTACTAAAATAGCAAACTTATTTAGGAGGAATGGAAAAGAGAGGAGTAATAAGAACATTAAAGAGTGATGGGAGAAGAGGGATTATGACTTTGGAAGCAGCCTCAGAGTGATGATAGAAGGAAGAGTTAGAGCTCAAGAACTATATTCCTTTTTACTCAAAATGTTCCAGAATATTATTCACAGAATAATGCTTACATCAGGAATCAACATATATCTTGGTCCCCATTGTCTTGAACATGTGATAAATGACAAAAAGTTACATCAGACTGACTTAAGCATAATGGAATTTATTGATTGTAATACCTGGAAAGTTCAAAAGTGTGACAGCTTCAGGCATGGCTAGATCTGGCTGTTCACTCAGTATTGTCAGGAAACACCTCTTTTCATTTCTCTGTATGCTATGTAGAGATTTTTTTCATGTAGGCATCATGATTACCTAACCTTTTACCTTATACAAACTCCCAGTAGCTTCAAAGTTAGCTTTATAACCCTAGTGGGAAGAAAGTATCTTTTCCTCAATCGTGCTGGTAGAAATACTGAGTTTAATCCTAATTGGTCCAAATTGAATCATGTGCCTATTCCTATGCCAATGCTGTGCTAAGGAGGACAGAGATGCTAGTTAGCTTAATCCTCTGATATTGTGGCATTGGGTAGAGTTAAAAAACACATAATTATCCCTCACCTGGATTTGTGAAACAAATCAGCACTTTGCAAATGAAATACCTGATTCTGTCCTACCTGAATCTACCACCAGCTATGATGGAGCAAACATTATTTTCTTCAGCTAGATTAGTTCACAGTGCTATTTCCTGAGTCCTCCCACTCTCTAGTCAAAGACTATGTGTAACTTTTATATTTTCTTCTCACCTCTAGGCTAATAGACACATCTCTCTTCCTCGAGAAATTACCCCTTTTCTTTTGGAGAATTTTCGACATGTACATTCCAAAAAGATGCACTTGTTAACCCTACTACACAAAGCTGACCCAAAACTAAAGTAATGACTTGGGTTATGCTATTGGTGTCTTATCACAAACCTGGATAATTCTAATTGAGAAGGAAGGACTGAAGGACAAATGATTTGTGTTCTTATCACAAGGAGACAGTTCATCCTGATGTCATATTTGTCTCTTCAGGATAAGTGGGATTGTTATTAGATTCATGTGCCTGACACATTAAATGTACTCAAAGCCAGACCCAGTAGAACTACTAAAATGTAGACTATTACAGATATCCTTTAAGTATGTTTCTCTGAGGAACTACAGACTGCTTGACAAAAATGTTTCATGTTACACTTTTAAAAGAGACTCCATTTACACCATGTGTTGCTGAAATCATAAATGAAGTCTGTAGTGGCAAACTGGTATGCCTGGTGTTATAGTAAAATTAAAAGAGAGCTGTCTTAACCTGGGCTTCCCAGAAAGCAGAGCTTATGTACTACAACATTATTAGGGATAGCAGCCCCAAGGAAAGAGGGGTGGAGGAGAAAGAGATGAGGCAGGTGAGGAAAAAAATAAGTACAAGGATGCATTGTTTAGCTGGCCACACTAAGCTCAACTGAGAACCCAATTATGTAAGACCACCTTCCAAGGAGTCAGATGAACTACTGAGTCTCAAGATTGTTCACCTGGGCATGGAAGAATAAGAATTTATCTATTGTGTCTCTTTAAGGAGGGCTAAAGTGTTCTGAATAAGAAGAATTTATAACAATGGCAGGAGGTTGGGCAGGGAAGTGGGGGTAAGAAAGCAAGATAACAGAAGCCCTTAAGTTCCAAAATGTAACATGATGCTGTAGCTCCTTCAACTTTAAATAATCAAATTAAAATTAGTAAACATACAGTTTAAGTGAATTTATGGTATAAACAAATGAAAATGGATCATCAGTTATAGTGTGGATATGGAAAAGAAAAACCCCCAAGCAAAAGGGAACTTCATAATTATCCCAAGATTCTTCCAAATTCCCCTAATTGAGAGTACCCAATCCATGACCCAGTACCCAATCCATTTCTTATAGGAATTGATCCAAGGAATTGGGAATATTAATCTCATAAAAGACCTAGCTGGCATGCTAGCTCACACCCGAGATAGGGCAGGTGGAACAGAAAATCGATCTGTTCTGTGTTGCTTCCAAGGAGCATAGCCAAGATTAATGAGTGGAAATTACTATGAAGTCAGTATCAGTTCAAAAAAAGCAAGAATGATATCACAGTTAAATAGAAATGGAGAGCTCCTCATCACTCATCACATTCAAACTAGTACTAAACTAGTAAGGTAGTAAGACTGGCAGTATCAAAATAAATGACCTCTCAGATTTTGCCCTGCTCCTGGTCATGTTATGACCATGTCCTGGGAGTGTTCCTTACGTTTACTCAGATTTTAAGCTGTCCCTGACACTCTATTTTAGAATCTCTGCAAGGAAACATGTGAGATGAACCTCAGATAGATGTGACTTCTGGTGCCACTTACTTTGAATGTATAATCATTCCCTGCAAACGCAGATGAGCCAGTAAAATAAAGTCTACCATCTGTCTCTCTCCATGTTTTTTTCAAC